GGGGTCAAACTATTGTATATACCATATAGTTTTTTTGTTTTCCTGATCAACCTTTATGTCACGTTTGCATCTACTTCGTTCGAGGGAAAAAAATTCATCTCCACGACCATCACTTCAGGTATTTGCAAATACGACCCATCAATTCTTATTGCTTTTACAACTTAGATACTAGTTCTGTAACTTCTGTTCATATGAGTTAAAGTCCACAAGATGGATAATTTTCAACCCGTGATAAAGTGTTACTGTTTCAACGGAATAAATCAGTCTCATGGGTCCATTTGTCCATAGATCTCAACTTGAAACTCAGCAAGCAAATGATTTAACAATCATCATTCACAAGGCTCATTAGTATCGGTGAATGAGTTGCTTATATGCATCCGGGTTCTTCGCATAATACTCGATCTCAGACTGTTAAAAAGAAAATTTGAAAAACAATAGATTAGTGCTTATATACCATTGTGATATATCTATTGGAACATAAAAGTCAATAATAGTGTGTACCTTACGGACTCCTTTTATGGCAACTAATAGCTTTCGTCCGACCAACTCGTGGAGGACTTTGTCATTCTCCAGTGCTTCAACAGCTTCGGAGAGCGACTCAGGAAGTCTCTTCAATGTAGCAGCTACATCGGCCGGGTTTGTATCTGATGTTTCATCAAAGCAAATGCAAGCGAAAGTGGTGAACAAATCTTGATAACTCGCAAATTTCATAACATAATACGAACAAGTCAAGATCAAGCTTCATCTTAAGACTATATAAGTTTTTACCTATTGGACTAGGAAGTTGGAGGTGCCGTCGAAGACCGTCAATACCAGCAGCCATAATAACGGCCAAACCAAGATAAGGATTCGCAGAGCCATCAAAAGATTTGATCTCGAAGTTAGTAACTAAACCATCAGGAGTTCCCGGTGGAGAAGCAGTTCTTATTGCCGCTTCGCGGTTTTCCTGACCCCAGCATTGGAATGCTCCACTCCATGTATTAGGTTGGATTCGGTCATAGCTGAAAATTTAGTAAGAAAATGAAACTTAGCTAGTAACAATGAATCAAGGAAATTACTCCAAAAAGAAGTAGGTTTAGTAACCTGTTTGGAAGTGGAGCTGTAACTGCTAAGATTGAAGGTAGATGAAACAAAACTCCGGCCATGAACTCTTCTCCGATGGAAGACATTCCACAAGCAGATGATTTGTCTGATGCCGGGAAGACATTTTCACCGTTCTTCCAAAGACTCAGATGCACATGTGATCCAGAACCAATGTCACATAAATCATACCTGAAAAGGGAACACACAAATTTTGTTTTTAAAAATCCGGCATTATAGCGTATAATTTGGTGGGAAAGAGACTGGCATACTTTGGAACAAAGGTCGCGAGCAATCCATGTTTCCTTGCAACCGATCTTATAACTTCACGCGTGTAAACCAAATTGTCCGCAGCACGAGATGAAATGGTGTGTCCCAAAGATACTTCAAACTGACCTTTTCCGGATTCAGCATGAAACTATCACAAAATTTATACATGTCAAGAAACATGTTGTAGATTGTAGTTGTGATATTGGCTGATCATTCTGAAACTGATTTAACCTGTTCAACTGTGATGTTCAAGGACTCAAGCGCAGGTACAATTTCATGGAATATATGAGCCGCGGCATCGAATGAGGATGCGGAACAGTAAGGACCAAAGTCAAAAGGCACATAATCTTTTTTCCCTTCCCTTAAGAAAATTTGTGCAGGACAAGTGTTAAGATCATGAAAAATTGATTGACCAATTAAAACGATATTCAAGAAACATATTAGTCTCATACCGCACAACATTCTTGAGGAGATAAAACTCATTCTCAAAACCAGCATTCATTACCTAGAGCCAGGGAAACTTTGAGTTTAGTCCGAAAAAGCCAATAAACTTTTCCATAAAATGGATATATGGAAATTATTTTATTTTACCAAGTCAAATTCATCTTTAAGAACATTTGTGACCCTTCTTAAGGCCTCTCTTGGACAGTATTCCCATGCTTCACCAGGCTTCAAATGCATGTCAGCTAAAACCATGCTCTCTTGCTTCGTCCTATCGATAAATACAATATGATCAATGCCACAAAGAAAAGAAAGGAACATCTGTAAAGTTTACTGCAAAGAAGAACGAACACAAGTAAAGTACCACGGTATTGTCTGCTTAGTTGATAGATCTGGAACCAGTCTAATCTCACCCACACCAGTCAACATAGACTCTTCTGCTGGTCCATCAGAAAATGAAGACATCCCCATTGATGCAAAAGTTAGACCAACACCATTCTTCATCACGCTACTGTTAAAACGCTGCGCTTGAACAGCCTGAAACAATACAATAAACAGAATTCTTGTCAAGTTTCTTTGCTTATAAGGAAACAAAGGTTTCTATTCTTTAGAAGAAAAAGAAATACTCACACGGCATCTTTGTTGTCCAGATGTATCAGTCCATATAATGCGTACAAACGAATTACTGTCTTCTTGCACATCAACCTCCTTAATCTGTAATTTGGGAGAGATTCTACTTTGTGGACTACAAGAATTTATGTCCACATCAAGCTTATAAAATGCAATCGAGTTTCGTGAAAAGATGTCTTTAGCTGCATCAATAGCTTCCATAAGTGAGAGATCACCACTGGCACATGCATCGCGTAGAACTAAGAAGATGACCTCGCGTGCTTTCTTTGCACCTGCAAGAAAACAGAGAACTTTGTTCAAGACAGAAGCTTGGAGATTTCAAGCTATACAAAAGAGGTAGCGACTTGAACTAACCTAAATAGTACGTTTCAGGAGATGCGTATCCATCAGTACTGAACATCACCTGGAAAATCTCTTATGGTTAGCATTTTATGTGACTCATGAAAACAACAATAAAGATAATGCAAGTAAAAGAACTTATAACATCATTGATTATGTTAACATGTTGCATTCAGTTTTTACCTTCTTTGTTGAGGCTAAGTCTAGAAGCTCCTTAACTGAAGACACCATACCATGGACACTAAGCTTTGGCACCGCTAACCCGAAATCAAGGTAAACCTTAAAGAACAGAAAAGATTGATCAAGAGTAAGCAATCGACGTCCTCGTCCTGGCATAATTTTACACATAATTGGAGTGTGCATGAAGAAAACCTGAGGATAAACTGAAGCCAGAAATGATGCTTCCTTTGAGAATGGATAAGATGCATGTAGAAGAACAATACGACACTTTGCAAATCTTTTGTCCTCAAGAAGGGTTCGAAGGTGAAGCGGATTTGACAACCGTAAATCCAAATCCCTGTCACCAAAACTGGTTCAAAGAAAAAGAAGAGGTTTTCATTATTACACACCGAGCATAGTGATTACATTCGGCACAAAACAAATTCTCAAAATCTCAGAGCTTAGAAGCAACGGAGGACAAATGAGTATCGTACGCTTAAACCCTACTAAAGATTCAGGTTTGTTTAATGCAAAACCAGTCATTACTAACATCAATACACAAAAACAACAAAGACCCTCACAAAGTAGACCAAATCCTGCATACCCTGTGTGAATCTGCAAAGGCAAGCCGCAACGTTGAGCGACCTCCAAAGTACACGTAAGAATGTAATCAATCAAGCCTTTGTTTTCAATACGGACAGGCTTTCCAGCTGCAGCAAAAAGAGGGTTTAAGATGATCAGAGAACAGCTATGTTACTTCTTGATTATTTTTAGACATACAATAGGACCAACCAAGCCATATCCATCTTACCTTGCAAGACTTGGACGAGGCCCTTCTCAGCAACTTGTTTACTCACATGAGTATCAATATCCAAACCGCTACGATAAGCAGCAATAGTTTTGAAAGCAACAATCTCTGGAACAAGCGTGACCAAAGTCAAGGTAAACAAAGTACTACTACTTAGTAATCACATTTGATCTCGTTACGAATGTATTAAAAAAAAACCACACATGAATAGGTAAAGGATATGAATTCAATCGTTCAACAAAGGCTTTAGTGAAAGAATCCAAATTCCAAGAAGGAGCATGAGGACTCTCCTGGTCGAGGATTTGCTCGGCAAGAGTTTCGATTCGCAATACTCGACCAACGAATGGAACGAACTTTCTGTGCCATTCAATGTCATGTTTCTTGTCCAGCTTCAATCCATCATCAATAAGCAGAGCAGAGATTCTTGCTTGTTTAAAACACTTGGAAGTAAAAGAATCCAAACCCGAGTTTTGTCGATGTTTCTCAATCGACTCCAACGATACTTGAGTGCCATAAAGTTGAGCAATTTCCCTCAAATTCCTCTGATTCATAGACAAGAGAACATTCAACAAACTAATTCGACACTAGTTAAGAAAGAAATCTCAATAGCAGATAAAACGACGGCGTTTTTTTTGTTGTAATCGTCGTACCTTGAAGGAGAGAGAGTGAGGAGCGAAGGATAAAGCGTGGCCGGTAGCCTCGGAGAAAGTTCCGATGAACGGGAAAGAAGAGTCGAGAGCAACAATGTTGTGCGCGTGAGCATCAACTAGCTCTGCTTTCTCTATAGCTTCCTTTAGCTCCTCAAATTCCATCTCTTTTCAATTTCTCAAACTCGGGAAATGGAAGGAAGAAGACCGTTCAATCAATCAACTGAGTGAGTTATGTTTTGTTTTTGACTTTGAGTGAGGATTGAAGGAGTTTCGTCTTAAAGTCTTGGTTATCCGATAGACTCCAAGTTCTAGGCCAGATCCATAGCACATGCCTCTCTCTTTCACTCCTATGATTTTTTTACGAGTAGTATAATTTTACATTTTGTCTCTTCTGGAAATTAAGATTGGTGGAGTAGTAGTACAAATGTCTCAATAAAATTCCTCACTCTCTTTTTTTTTTCATATGAATATTAACATAAACACCGTAGAAAATGGAGATGGGATATGTTTTTAAAATACACGGATGGGATACGAAGATGAAATACATAGGAGAATCTATACCGAAATCTTCAGACGAAAAACTAATCCTGAACCCATAAAACCAAAGTATAGCTCGGGAGACAACAACCTAAAGCCCCGAACCAATACCTAAACTAACTAACTCGATCCCAAAAAGCCAAGACTCTTCCTTCCAAAGAAACCTCATCAATGTAGAACCACTGCTTCGCATCACAATGTCGATAAAGGTGATAAGGAGCTGCACGTACACACGAGACAAGAACATCAAATCCCGAGTCCAAACTAAAACCAGCTAAGAGTAATGATCGCCAATGTTAAACCATGAAGAAGATCTTCTCCACGAGCTAAAGTAGAACTCAAACCTAACCCAAGATTCTTCATATTGATAACAATCCAAAACACTAATGCAAAGAAATGATATGCATAACGCCAATAGAAGAACATATTCACAATGGGAAGAAAGGAATCTACGCAGTAAGGAGAGGAAGGAACATCCTCGAGAAACATCTCTTCAGCAAAGAGGAGTCACCCTTAAACAAACAGCAAAGACCACCTCAATCAGGGCATGTTATAACCGAAGGCATAGACTCATCGAACCTCCGGGGATGAGATAGAGTTTACGCCAAATTCAGGGACAAAAGATTGAAAGCGCCCATCTTCAAGCAAGCTAATACCAAATAAAGCTAAATTCAGCCCCTAAACAGAGAGATCCTAATCCCAAACACAAGAACCATTACAGGCGAAGACTACACCTACTCAGAGAAAGAACTTACCCCACCGCCGGTGGCAAGCTCCGACCAAGATTGGCGTCGAATCGGGAGGATACAACTGCTTGAATCCAAGGCAATCAGAGTCAAGCAAAAACCTAGTACTTTGCAAGCGGAGGAAGGCCCGAACCCTGCCTAATCGAGCCGAGCACACTGCCCCGAGGAGAAGGAACGATTCAACCACCAACCCCACCGGCGACCTAAACAGATCTTGACCACAAACAAACCCTCACCGAACCGAGATCTGAAACCCCACCACGAGCAAGTTCTCATACCGGATCTAGAACCAAAATCCACCGAAAAACTAAAGCATAAAGACTAAAAACGACTAGATCCGGTTTCAGCGCTAAAAGAGCCGCCGACCGCCGGATCAAACCAAGCAAAACGTCGTAGGGTTACTGTAGCCGCCGCTCTGTTGATATCGCGCGAGAAACATAGATTTTTTTACTTTCATTATTTTTTTTTAGCTTATAATTTTAATTTTTAGACATTTCTCAATTTCATTATTTTACAGATTATTTTATTTCCATATTTCATTAAAAATTGAGAATAATTTTTTATTTTATTTTAACAGATTTCGGTAACGACGACGTGTGCAGAACGGACAAACAAAACCAGTCAGAGATTACGTGCGACAGCTTTTGTCTACGTGGCCAAGAGACTTCCACGTGTCGTTGGTGGGTGATGTGGATAACATTTTTCGCATTACGCACTTGATCTAGTCTCTATTTTTACGCGGGAATTCAGCAGTC